CACCGCCGCCCGGCCTCCGAGGGCCGGTGGGGCTACCTCCTTCATCCTCCTGCATCCAAGCATCTTTTATGTGCTGGGTGGTGTTTTCTTCAAAAAGGTCAAAAGATGGACTTCCCTGACCCGTCCATGGGCAAATGTAGGGTTTCCTGTTGACTGCATTAATTGTGCGCGATGAAGTAATCAGCACTCAATGCCTGGTATGTTGTTGTGTGCTGTAGAGTCGTCTGCAACTGATAGCCACCCTATGTACAACAGACCTAAACCGTGCTCTATCCCTTTCTAATCCTACTGTCTCCAACACACCAACCTATTCCCATTATCCCAGTGACTGAATCAGTTCATCTCATGCGCTGTCCCTCCACCCTCCCAAGCATGACGTCCCACTCTTTGCAACATGTCCAAAGCATGTCAGACGAAGCTACGGAACCTTTGCCTCCAGGAAGCAGCCTGGCTTCACCCTCTCCAGGACAAACTTGTTTGTTCTCCTAGCAGTCCATGGTATAGTCAACACTCTTCTCCAGCACCACAGCTCATAGGCATCAACTCTCCACCATCCCTAGTCGTTGTCCAGCTGATGCATAGCAAGTATATGTCTTTAAAAAACTCAGTATACGTCGCTATTGTTAGGTGCCGTCCAGTCGAGTCCGACTCATAACGACTTTACGAATAGCAGATCTTAACCCTGTCCTATCCTGTGAAGATATGCTCACATACTTCAGTTCGTTGCTACAGTCATCAGGTCAATCCACCTGGCTGAGGGTCTTCCTCTCTTTTCCTGACCCTCCAGCTTCCCAAGCATGATGTCCCCTTCCAAGAAATTGCTTCTCCTAAGCAACAAGCCCAAAGTGCGAGAGAAGAAACTTTGGTATATGCGTAACATTCATAAATTCTAACTGGATCTTCTGCACCGACTGTGGGTATAGTGCACCACATAAGTGGCGTGCTTCCCGGGTCCTAACAAGCGGCCTCTTTGTGCGCACGCGCAATCGTGGGTGAAAAGGTTGTTAGGCGCCATGCCGTGATGTCATGAACAGCTGACCTGAACTCAGTTCTACCCTGCGCCATCCTCACCATCCCTGATACTGTGGAGCCCATTGCTTCAGTTACTATGGCAATTCATGTTGTTAAAGGCTTTCCTCTCTTTCTCTGAGCCTCCACCTTTTCGAGCATGATATCCTTAGCCTAATCTAGAAAAAAAGCCCAAAATAGACGGCAATCAAGCGTAAATAGCGCCAATTCCCCAACTTCGCGTGCTCCCGCGCTTTTCTCCTCCCCGCCCCCAGCCCCTCACTCCCGAGGCTTTAGTTCTGCGCATGTGAATTTTCAGTCGGGAGCCGGAAGCTGTAACGGCGCGTTTCCCGCCAGCTAAGGTCCTGACTTTGAGCGCAATTTGATGACGACACTTGGGCGCTGGATTTCGGAATGGTCACTCCCGACCTGGCAGCGAGTGGCTCAGTGGGCACTACAGGTGAGTGCTGAGAGCCGGCCGCGAGCCACGCCGCGGCGGCTTCCTGGTGTCTCCGAGTTCTCCGGGCGCGTCTGCCCCTTCAGGAGCCGTGGGGCTCGGGCTGGGCCCCGGTGTCCCCGCGCGGATCAGGGCTGGCCCTCGAGGGCGCCGGCGTCACCTCCTAGCGCAGCTCGCCCTCCGGGCCTGGTAGGTACTTGGTTAGCGTCCGTTGAACGAGTTGGAGGCAGGAGAGCTTCAAACTAAAGTTACGCCTTGTAGTTCCACGAATAGCGGGGGCGGAAGGGCAGCTGCCCATTTTGGCCTACCTCTGGTGTCACTTGTCCAGCAAAGAGGAGGATGCCGGTGCTTTGACTAAGGGCAAGAGGCGGGCGCTCGCGTGGCTTGTCGTTGAGTACGGTGGAGTCGGAGCTGACCCATCGCGATCCCTCTGGCGGGCTTCAGGGGCAGTAAATCGCACTTGCGGGGAGCTGGTGGATTTGAATCTCGCGCCTTTGGGATGTCAGTGCCACTTCTTACTAGTGGAGGAACTTCCTTATCTCTAAGCCTGAGGCCTTAATCCCTTTATTGTTGCTGTTGTGATGTGCCCTCAAGTCGCCTGTGACCCTATGTACTCTGAAGCCTGCCTTGTCCTGAGCCAGTCTCACTGATTCCTACACCATCCTCTATTACCCTAGTTACTGTGGCAGTCCATCTCTTCTGGGGTCTGTCTTTCCTGCACTGACCCTCCGCGCTTCCGAGCGTGATGTCCTCCTCCAAGGACTGGTTTCTCCTGGCATGTGCCCAAAGTATGTGAGATGGAGCTTCAATATTCTAACCTTCGAGGAGAAATTTGGTTTCACCCTCTTCAAAACAGGACTTTTTCTTGGCGGTCCCATGGTATGGTCAAGATTGTCCTCCACAAAAATTCAAAGGCACCAATTCTTCTGTCATCCTTAGTCCGCTCTATGATGCATAACAAGTAATTGTGAAAACGATGGCCTAAGTCAGACGCACCTTAGTCTCTAGACTGACATGGTTGCTTTTCAGTACTCTGGAGAAGTCCCTGACAGCAGATTTTCCCAGTGCATTTATTTTGCCTTTTGATTCCCTGATTTCTGGTACTAAGTTTGTAAGCTGTAATTAACAACAACTTCAATTTCATCTCCATCATGGTAAGGAATTACATACCCAATGCAAAGAGAACTTGGATGCTTGGTACACACCTGTGGACTGGGGCTTGTGGGGGGTATGCATGCTCTTGGAAGGAGCAGTGTTTGAGCAAGGAAGTGTTTTCACAGCATCTCAAAAGGTCCAGCTTTTTGCAGCAGTCTAAGATTTTGTTCAGGTTTAAACAGTGATAAACTTTTCTTCATTTGGTGCATTAGAAGGCTTGAGGAGTTTAAATTCTTTATGAAGAGTGGAATTGGGGAAAAAATAAATAATTTTAAAAATAAAAAAAGTAGAATGAGGAGGGGAGGAAGAGTAGAATCAGTAGCCAGCTTAGGAAACTGGGAAATATTCCTGTTGCCAACACAGCGGTGCACCCCGCCACCTTGCACCCAACCCTGCTGCCCCCACCAGTGCTGCCACTTGAGTGTCATTCCTCATTCATCCGGGGCAGCCCTATGCCAGGACAGCCATTGCTAGCCCATTCAGCGTACTTGGGCAGGCTTCCCCTCTTGTTGTGTGCTGTAGAGTCAGAAGCGACCCATAACTGACTATCCAGCAGGTTTTCAGAAGTGGTGACTCACATGGGAGGATAGTGCCCATCTTTCTCTAGTAGAGCAGCTGGTGGACTCAAACTGTGCCTTTAGGTCGGCAGCACAACTCCTTACTACTAAGCGAACAAAACTGGTCAAGCCGAGTCTTAAGTGGTTTTAGTTTTTGTCCTAGATGTATGAGGTTTTCTGTCAAGGCCTTGTTGATAGAGCCTGTCCTTTACTCTTGATGATACTTTTGGAAAGTATTCTTGTTGTTAGGTGTTGTCAAATTGTCTGCCACCCATAGCAACCCTATGTACAGTAGCTCTGAACCCTGCTGTCTTCTGAGCCAGTATTCCAACACACCATCCCCCATTGCCCTGGTTACTGTATCAGTCCATCTGATCCAGGCTCTTCCTCTCCTATGCTGTCCATTCATCCTTCTGAGCATGATGTCCCTCTTCAAGGACCAGTTTCTCCTGGCCATGCGTCCAAAGTATGTGAGAGAGAGCTTCAAAATCTAGCCTTCAAGGAGAAACTTGTTTCACCTTCTCCAAGACAGACTTAATTTGTTTTCTTGGTGGTCCATGGTATATTTAAGACACTTCTCCAGCACAACTCAAAGGCATCAATTCTTCTGTCATCCTTAGTCATTGTCCAACTCAGTGATACATAACAAGTAAATATGAAGACCATGGCCTAGATCAGATGCACCTTAGTCTCTAGACTGACATTGTTGCTTTTCAGCACTCTGGAGAACTCCCTGACAGCAGATTTCCCCCATTGCAATTTGTCTTTTGACTGCTGGTGCTTAGAGTATTGATTGTGGAGCTGAGCAAGCTATAATTGTCAACAGCCTTAATCTCCTCTCCATCTATCATGGTGCTGCCAATTGGCCCAGTGGTGAGAATCTGTCTTCTTGATGTTGAGTTTCAATCCATATTGAAGTCTACTGTCTTTGACCTTCTGCTGCAAGCATCAGTTTTTGGGTTTTTTTTTTTATTATTTTGTGTGCGTGTACCGTCAAATCGGATCTGACTGGTATAGGAGGAGATTGTCCCTCCTTTTCCAGCAGAGCATCTGGTGGATTTGAGCTGTGTGCCTCTGGGATTGCAGTGCAGCTTCTTGCCACTAGGCCACCAGAGCTCCCCTCAAGCATCAGTTTTAAGCAAGCAAGGTTGTGTCATCTGCGTAACATAGGTTGTTGATGAGTCTTCCTCCAATCTTGATGCCACATTTCTCCTCATAAAAGCTCTGCTTCCTGAATGAAGGATAGATTCTATATATGGATTGAAAAGGTGGGGAGACAGGATGCATCCCCGACTCACTAACGAAGTATGTATTCCCTACTCAGTGAGATTTTTTGGGGGGGAGGTCTGTGTATTAGAATCTTGATTGAGCTATTTATATAATTTTAAAGGACTTAAGCCTAGGCTTTTTTTCTTTTAAACGTTATTTAATTAGGTCTTTTGCAAGAAATCTAGAACACCAAGAACACCAATTTGTAAAGATAAACTCCATTGGTGAAGGAAACTTTTTATCCATCTTTACTAATATGATAGGGTGGTTGGTTGTTGCTAGGGGCCGTCTACAACTTGGTCTCATGCCAAGCTAATGAACGGCAGAGGTTGTATTTTCTAGTGCTACCTATTAGATCCCCAGTGAGATAAATTGACACAGTGACTGCTGCAGTGGGCTCAAGTGTATCAGAGATGATGAGGACGGCACAGGGTATGATAGGATTCAAGTCTGTTCATATGAGTTGTGCTCTGCTTGAGGGCACCTAACAACTTCTACAAGTTGGAATTGACCCATTGTGATCCTCCATTAGGTTTATGAGGCTTTAAATCACAAGGGAAGAAATTGCCCATCTTTTCCTGGGGAGCTGCTGGTAGATTTGAACTTCTAGAGGGGCGTAAGCTCTGGGTTATCAGTGTAACTGCCTATGCACTATACCAACAGAGCTTAAGGATTTAGCAACTAAAAGTATAAGCCATTTATTGTCTCACAGTTATATGCTAAGTTCACATGTGCTTACTGGGTTTTCTGCTTAGGAGCTTTCAAGGCCCTGGGGAGGAATCTACTCTCAGAGTTACTCAGATTGCTGAGAAATTTGTGGTTACAGAGCATCAGTTGCCATTTTCTTGTTTACTCTCAGGAGGGGAGGTTATGCTCTTTTCCCAAATCACCTGCTTTCCTGCTTATAGGGCCTTCTTCATCCTTCTAGTAGCTATAGTGCATTAAGTTCCTTCTTATGCTTTGAAATATCTGGCTTTCACTTTTTTACTAGCAAAGAAAAAAGTGCTTCTGGGTTGACTCAGACCCACCTGGGTAATTAATCCATGTGTTCTATCTGCAAATTCCCTTCACAGCAGTACCAGGTTAGTGCTTAGACAGGAATCCTTGGGGGTGATCTTTGGAGCAGTGAATATAACACAGTAATAAACAGCACTAAGCAAACATGGTCCAAAACTGGTCACTCTGGACTATGTAAGAACAGCATTTCTACAGAACATGAGTTGTGTTGATTTACATAAATTCTCTCCTAGCTCTTCTTCTTCAAAGAAGAAACTGGTTTCCCTGAGTTGGAACTAACCCATAGCTAATCCTGCAGTTCTGAGAGTAATTTGTTGGTAGATTCAGATAGCCAGAGATGTATCACCTTGGGTTTAGCAATGTCAATCTCTATGTACTCCAATAGAGCTACAGTGTAAGAGATTTTAAGGTCTCATATTTGTCTCCCCACAGTGGTTTCCTAGGACGACCACCTTAAACTCTTCACCCAAGACTGTCATGGCGTTCCCTTACTTGCAGCAGCCCAGTTTCCTTCTGGTAAGTATCAGCACCAGTGTTTGTCAGTTTGATGGCATTTCTCTATTGTAAAGGAATGTGGTGGTTTTAAGGGCTTGTGATGGAAGTAATAATGGACTCAGTGAGAATCTTTAAGCTTGACGTTGTCTTTTGTTTTTGTGAGACCTTGGGTTTCCTCGACCCCTGATTAGTAGATGAGTTTCTTTTGCTTTTCTTTGAGTGTGGAGAAAATTGAATGAAAAGGGTGAACATCAGCACGTTCATACTTTTAAATAAGTACACAAATTAGACCTCATTTGAGCATACTGATTGTCAAAAGTGAAAGTCTCCAGGTTTGCAAACAGATGTGCCTTGTAATCCTCTTGAAAAACCAGTTATTGAAAACCCTGTGGAACACAGTCCTGTTTAAATCACATGGGTGAGTTGGAATCAAATCTGTGAAAACTGGTTGATTGGTTGTCAGTGGAAAATGAACCTTGCTGTGTTGAGGGAAATGGGACTTCATTTTGAGTATTTAACGGTCTGAGAAGTTGGTGTGAGACAATTTTAGTGACACATGATCAACCCTAATTTTTATTTTTTTTATTATTAATTTCGATGAAAATTTACAGACTTTGGATTTCCATTCATTCATTGTTGCACTTTTCTCCCCTCCCAACCCTCCCACCCAGTACACTATGTTCTTGGAAAAGTAAAAGAAAAATTCTTTCATTATTTTACAATCCCTCCCCTCAGGTCCACTTCACCATGCAGCCTTCATTCTGGACTCCTGTCATGAGAAAAATGCCTAATCACATATCCCTTTTAAACAGTTTTCTGCCTCCACTGTTTCAATGCCGTATACATTATTTATCCCATCTTTCTCAGTCTCCTCCCAACTCCGATGTCAATCCTGTTTTACAACAGTGGCACCATGCAGTATTTGTCCTTTTGTGACTGAGATATTTCACTCAGCATAATGTCCTCCAGGGTCACCCATTTTTAATAATATTACATGAGTTCCTTGTTTTTCAGTGCAGCGTAGTATTCCATTGTGTGAATATACCACAACTTCTCTATCCATTTGTTGATGGGCACTTGGGTTGTTTCTAGCTCCTTGCTATTGTGAACAAAGCTGCAATAAACATGGGTGTGCATATATCTGCTTGGATGTCAGCTATGGTCTCTTCAGGGTATATTCCCAGTAGTGGAATTGCTGGGTCAAATGGTATTTCTGTTTGCAACTTTTCGAGAAAGCGCCATACCGCCTTCCACAGTGGTTGCACCATTTTACACTTCCACCAACACTGAATAAGGGTTCCAGTTTCTCCACAACCTCGCCAGCATTTGTTGCTTGCTGTTCTGTTAAATTTTGCTGTTTCTTACTGGGGTGAGATGATATCTCATAGTTATTTTGATTTGCATCTCTCTTAGAGCTAGGGATTTTGAACATTTCTTCATGTGCTTGTTAGCCATCTGAATGTCTTCTTTGGTGAAGTGTCTGTTCATATCCTATGCCCATTTTTCAATTGGATGATTTACCTTTATCTTGTTGTGGTGCAACCCTAATTTTTAATCCCAATTTAGATTGTATCTAAACATCAAGAAAACAAAAATTCTTACCAGTGGACCGATGGGCAACATCATGATAGATGGTGAAAAGTTTGAAGTTGTCAGTGATTTGATTTTACTTGGATTCACAATCAGTATTCTTGATACCAGCAGTCAGGAAAGCAAGAGATGTATTGCCCTGGAAAAGTCTAAAGTCAGGGATCTCTCCAAATTATTGAGCAGTGCTATCATTTTTAAGGACTAAAGTGCACCTCATTCAGACAGTGATCTTTTCAGTCATTTGCTATGCATCTGAAAGCTGGACAGTGAATAATGATGACAGAAGAAGAATTCATACCTTTGAACTGTGGTGTTAAAAGAAGAAAACGGAATATCTTGTGGGCTGCCAAAAGAATAAAGATACCTTGGAGAAAATGCAGCCAGAATGCTTCTTGGACACAAAGATGATAATGCTTCTTCAGCTTACCTACTTTGAGGATGTTGTTAGGACTTCATACTTGGAAAAATGGAAGGTCAGCAAAAGAGAGAAAGACTCTCAACCAAATGGATTGACACAGTGACAGCTGCAGTGAGCTTGAGTGTGTCAGAAAGTGGGAAGGTATCCCAGAGGTGCACAGTTCAAATCCACCAGGTGCTCTGCTGGAGAAGGAGGAACAATCTCCTCCTGTACCAGTCAGATCTGATTTGATGGTACACACACTCACACACAAAATAATAAAATTTAAAAAAAATTAAAAAAAAAGAAAGTGGGAAGGTGGCACAGGATAGGACAGAGTTCATATCTGTTGTTTATAATGTAGCTGTGGGTCATACTCAACAGCACCTAACAACAACAACAACTAATTTTCAGTTCCCAGAAAATGATCTCTATAAACACTACTTCTTTTTTAAAAAAAAAAATTTATTTTATTTCATTATTTTTTGTGTGTGCCATCAAATCAGATCTGACTGGTACAGGAGGAGATTGTTCCTCCTTCTCCAGCAGAGCATTTGGTGGATTTGAACCGTGCACCTCTGAGACTGTAGTTGCAGCTTCTTGCCACTAGGCCACCAGAGCTCGCCTAAACACTACTTCTTTAGAAGAACATTTTTTCTTGGTTCCTATGGTCTAAACAGCCCAGGTGTCTGTCTCTGATCAAAACCTGTGGGCTGTCCTTGTTTGAAAGTAGGCAAGACCTTAGCTATCCTCACTCAAAAGCTTTGTGGTTACATTCTTGCTATTTTCTTCTGCTTCTAGTCTGTAAAAAAGTTGTGAGGGGAGAAGGGTGCAACAATGAATGAATGGAATCCCAAAATTTCTGTAGATGTTCATTGAAATGAAAAATAAACAACCTAAATTAAAAAAAAAAAAAGCTATAAGGCTTTAAGTTTAATTTCTTTGTGCTTGTGCCTTGATATTGTCTGACCATTACGTTGCTGTTGTGTTGGTGTTATGTGCAGCTGAGTTGACTACAATTCATAGTGACCCTGAACAGATTGAGCCCTGCCCTTTCTTGCACCTTCCTCACCATTTCTGATTTACTTGAGCCCATTGTTCAAGTCACCATGTCAGTTCATCTTGTTGAGAATCTTTCTCTCTTTTGCTGATCCTCCACCTTTCCAAATGTGCTGTCCTTTGCCAAGGACTGACCCCTCCTAGTAACACAGCCAAAGTACATGAGACAGAGTTTTGCTATTCCTGCCTCTAAGGAGCACCCTGGTTGCACTTTTTCCAAGCTCTTCCTGATTGTTCTTTTCACAGTCCATAGTATATTCAGTATTCTTCTCCAGAACCACAACTCAAATACATTGATTCTGTCATCTCTATTCCTCGTCCAATTTTCAGTTGCATAGCAAGTCATTGAAAAGACTGTGGCTTGGTTCAGGTGCACCTTGGACTTTAAGTCCTTGTACTTTGGCACTTTGGTGAGGTCCTTGACAGTAGATAGACCTTGGTAGACAGTGTTAGTCCTTGGCTGGAGGTGTCTAGCCCTCCTGAGCTCTTCTTTAAAAAATCCTGAACTTCATCGATTTTTTTTATCTGCTGCACAAAGTATACAGCTTAGTTAGGAGATGTCTGTTGATGCCTTTTTTTTTCATTCCTACTATTTTAACAGTTATGTGAATTCATAAGCAGTCAGCCATGTTGGATATTTCTGATTCATACTCTGGGTCTTTGGGGGCTCCCTGCACCCTTGGAGCTGACACTGTGTGCAGGAGGCAGGTTTGCATTGATTGTGTATATGCTCTGAGGTCACTACAGTGCTTCCAGAAGGTCCTTGAGGGCAAGGCTGAGAGCTACTGGGCAGGAGCCATGCTTCTGGGACCCACTTATACCAGTCAGACAATCTGACTTAATGTATGGAGGTGTGTGTCTGATCTCATCTCTTGATTGGATTTCTATTTAGACTCAAGGCAGAATATCTGCAAAAACTGCTAAATGAACATACTCATGATTTTTTTTTTCTACTTGTTTTGTCTTCTAGGCTAGTCTGAAAGCTGACTCTGTGAATAAGCCTTTTGCACAGCGGTGCCAAGACTTGGTTAAAGTCATTGAGGATTTCCCAGCAAAGGTACAGGCTCAGGACACTGAAAAAACAGTGTATGCAGTAGGAGAATGGCTGAGTCTGTTCTCCAATAATTCCACAAAGGGAAACTGTAACTATCAATGACATCCACGGCACAAAACCAATTCCTATAAGGTTTTTCATCTGATAGCTAAAATGCTTGTCTGTCAGATACTTTTTCTTAAACTAAACATCCGTATAGACAGACTAGGAAGAAGGATTGGCTATCCACTTCCGAAATATAACAGGCCTTCAAAACCCTATGTATAGCAGAGCACACTTAGAGTAGATTAACAGATATGGCAACTGAGGCTGAGCACCAGTTTAAGAAGAAATTAACCATTGGTACGTTGAATGTCAGAAGCATGAATGTAGGAAACTAGACATTCTTAAGAAACAGCGCATAATAAATATTGACAGATATTAGTGAAATGAGATGGATATTGACATGGGACATTTTGAATCAGACGATCACATGATCTATGCTGGAGATGAAAAAGTGAGAGAAAAATAGGGTCATTTCATAGTTAAAAAGGCCATTTCTAGATCCATCTTGAAATACAATATTGTGAGTAAAAGGATAATATCCATACACAAACAAGGAAGACCTGTTAATACTAATATCATTCAAATTTATGTGCCAATAACCAGAGCCAGGGAAAAGGAAATAGATTATTTCTATCAACTGTTGCAATCAGAAATTGCTCGAACGTGTAACCAAGATGCATTAACAATAATGGATGACTAGAATGCAGAAGTTGGGAATCAGGAAGAAGGATCATTAGTCAGAAAATATGAACTTGATAAGAGAAATGAAGCTGGAGATAGAATGATAGAATTCTGTATAATCAATGATTTATTCATAGCAAATACCTTTTATAAGAAACAAGTACAGGCTATACACATGGATTTCAACTAATAGGATGCACTGGAGTCAGATCAGTTACATCAGTGGTAGGAATTGGAGAAGTTTAATATCAGCAGTGAAAACTAGGCCAGGTACTGATTGTGGAACAGACCATCAACTGTTCATATGCAAGTTCAAATGAAAGCTAAAAAAGATTAAATCATATCTACTGAATTTTATCTTGAGTCTATCCTCCCTGAATTTAAAAACCATCTCAGGAATAGGTTTGAGGCCTTGAACACTAATGAGCGAAGGGTAGATGAGCTGTGGGAAGATATCAAGAAGAATGCAAAAAGTCATTACAAAGAAGGAAGAAGAAGAAAAGAACATAATGGATGTCAGAAGAAACTCTGTGAATATTGCACTGGAGTACCAAGAAACCAAAGCAGAGGGAAGAAATCAAGAAGTTAAGGAGCTGAATAGAAGATTTAAAAGGGCAGCTCAGGAAGACAAGGCAAAATATTATAATGAAATGTGCAAGGAGCTGGAGTTGAGAAATCAAAAGGGTTGAACTCAGCATTTCTTAAGCTGAATAAACTAAAGAACATATTCAAGCTGTGAGTTAAAATACTTAATGATATTATGGGCAGAATATTGAATGATTTCGGGAAGTAATGAAGAAGAAAAGAGTATACAGAGTCATTGTACCAAAAAGAATTGGCTGACACAGAAGAATTTCATGAAACAACATATATGATCAAGAGGAAATGGTGATGGAGGAGGAAATTCAGGCAGCTCTTAATGACTTGGTAAAAAGAAAATTAAAGCCCCAGGAACCGATGGAATACCAGTTGATGTATTTCCACAAACATGCTGCCCTGGATAAGCTCAGCAAGTTGTGCCAAGAAATCTGACCAGCTGACTGGAAGAGGTCCATATTTATTCCCATTCAAAAAAAAGGTGACCCAACAGTGTGGAAATTATCGAAAAATATCACTAATGTCACACACTAGCAAAATCTTGCTGAAGATTATCCAAAATTGACTGAAACAGTACATTGACAGAGAACTACTGAAAATAGAGGATGGGTTTATAAGAGCTTGTAGCACTAGAGACATTTTTGCCAATGTTAGATGGATCTTGGCAGAAAGCAGAGTACCAGAAGAATGTCTGTTTCATTGACTATACAAAGGCATTTGACTATGTGGGTCACAACAAATTGTGGCTAACCTTAAGAATGGCAATACCAGAACGCTTGATTGTGCTTATGCGAAACCTATGCTTGGACCAGGAAGCAGTCTTCAGAACAGAGCAGGGAAACAGGAAAGGATTGTGTCAGGGATGCATCCTGTCCTCGTACTTTTTCAGTCTACACGCAGAACCATCATTCGGGAATGAGGGTTCATGAGGAGGAATAGGGCATCAAATTGGAGGAAGACTCATGACCTATGATATGTAGACGACAACTTTGTGGAAACTGAAGACCTGAAGTGCTTGCTGCAGAAGGTCAAGGACTGTAGTCTTCAATATGGATTGAAGCTAGCTGAACATCAAGAAGACAGATTCCTACCACTGGGCCAATTCTCAGCATCATGACAGATAGAGAAGAGGTTAAAGTTGTTAACAGTTACAGTTTGCTCAGCTCTACAATCAATGCAGTCAGGAAATCAAGAGACAAATTGCATTGGGAAAAATCTGCTGTCAGGGACCTATCCAGAGTGCTGAAAATCAACGATGTCTGTCTAGAGACTAAGATGCACCAAATCCAGGCCATGGTCTTCGTAATTACTTGTTACACTTCAGAGAGCTGGACAGTGACTAAGGATGACAGAAGAATTGATACCTTTGAGTTGTGCTGGAGAAGAGTCTTGAACATACCATGGACTGCCAAGAAAAACAGATCTATCTTGGAGAAGGTGAAACCAAGTTTCTCCTTGGAGGCTAGGATTTTTGAAGCTCCATCTCACATACTTTGGGCACATGGCCAGGAGACTGGTCCTGGGAGAAGGACCTCATTCTCAGAAGGGTCGAGGGACAGCACAGGAGAGGAAGACCTCGGATGAGATGGATTGATAGAGTGACATAGGACAGTGGGGGATGATGTGTCAAAATTAGTGAGACTGGCTCAGGACAGGGCAGGTTTCAGAGCTACTGTATGTAGTGTTGCTGTGAGTTAACAGGTGCTTTAACAGCACATGACAACAACAATAAGATCAGATGTGGTCTACCACCCTCCTGCACTTGTGTGCTGTCAAGTTGGAAGTAGCCCATCACTGCTTTTCAGAGGCAGTTAATTGCATGAAAGGAGATTGCCCATCTTGCTGTCATGGAGCAGCTGGTAAATTTGAACCACATGCCTTTAAGATTGCAGCACAGCTTCTTGCCATTTCGCCACCAAAACGCCCTATTCTTGTTCCACTTCTAATTCCAGCGCCAGGCTTACTGCCCTACTGAGGAAGAAATCTGTTGAAATGACTACACATCTCATGGAACCATAGTCATACACTTAGGGGATTTATTGGAGAAGCTGACAGGCTCCAGTTCAGGTTAACGACAGGATACAGTCCAGACAGCTTCTCTAATGTGTTTACAGGCCCTTTAGTCTTTAGCGTCATGGCTTAGATCACTGTTACAAAGTTCCCTTAGTCCTGCCAGCTATGTGTGGAGTCTTCCCTCAGTCCTCCAGCATGCTTGGGCAAAGACCTCGAGCTCTGTGCGGCAGTAGTCCCAAGTCAGCTCTGTCTCCACTTGGTCTCTCGCTTTCTACTGAAGTCGCTGTTCATGTGGGTACTGGTCTGACTGCTGCATTAGTCTCTGGCCTTGAAGAATTTGTACTGCACTTTCTGTTCCCTCTTGCTGGTAGTAAGATTCTCAAATTTTGCTCTTGAACAGCTCAGTGTAAAACTTGGTGGAGTGGCAGAACTAGCCCAGCAGCCCCTTGTGCATAGACTAACACATCTTCTTTACATGTTCCCTCCCAGCCATGTGGCAGAGTCAGTCAGTGCCTGGAAAAGCTGTTTGAAATACCACATATACTTTTCTTGTAAATCTTAGATCACTGTCTCTAGTTCTTATCTGTAAGCACTGGTGGTCCCATAGGCCTGTTCTGGAATACAGAGCACGCTGGTGAGCATATTCTCACCTGTAGACCAGAAGTCCTCCACTTCGTTGTTTGTGGTTTTTCCTCACAAGGCACATTTGATAATGTGTGGAGTCACTTTGGCTGTAACGATTTAGGAGTGGAGTTGGTGCTGGCAGTTAGAGAGTGGAGATCAGGGATGCTCCTGAACATTCTGCATCCCCTGCAGTAAAAGCGTTAGCTGGTTCAATATGTCATATGTCAGGCGTGCCAAGGTTGAGAAGCAGCGGTAAATCACATTTGGAATCGTTAAAGGGTGTCACCAGGCCCAGGAATCTTAATTGGGCAGGGCACTAACATTCAGAAAACGTCACAGTTCTGTTTTAGGAGCTTACTCTGGGGAGAATATTGGACACTTTTTTTTAACAGTGCCCTTTTCTGATCAGAACTTTTGACATAGAAAACGCTGTGTTTGTTTTCTTGTGTGTTGTTGTTACCAACTCACAGCTTGGTGGGTTTTCAAAGGCAGTAAATTGCACAGGAGATTTCCCATCTTTTTTGTGCAGAGCAGCTGGTGGCTTTGAATTTCATACCTTAGAAATTGCAGCACATCATATTAACCACAAGGCCACCAGAAAGAACTCTTTTTTTTTTTTTCACCAGTGCCCATACCTGGCCCAGCATGTTTCATAGGCAGTAAATCACACTCTGCTCCTCTTTCTCCCATGGAGCAGCTGGTGGATTTGAACCATATACCTTTTCATTGGTATTGCAGTTACTTACCATTAAGCCATCAGAGCTCCCTATGCTCTAGTAGCTAGATATTCAATAGGCTGATTCATTTAATTGTACTAAAGGGAGCACAACATGACATGTACCGTGGAACCTCAAAGAGAATTCTGCGCCGCCCTTGTGTTAACACTCCAGCTACTTGCCCCATGGGTGTGTCCACTGCCTCCCATTTTCCTGTTTCAGGAGCTGCGGGCTATCTTCCCGTGGCTAGTTGAGAACATATTTGGCAGCCTCGATGGTGTCCTCCTGGGCTGGAATCTCCGCTGCCTGCAGGGGCGAGTGAACCCTGTTGAATACAGCATTGTGGTGGAGTTTTTGGACCCCGGGTAGGTAGCTGTGGTGCTCAGAAGATCCAAGGTATTTCCTTGTATTCCTCTTTCTGAATTCTGTTTCTTAAAGAAGTAGAACAAAATGGTTAGCAGTTCATCTGCTTATTTTACTTTATTTTAATTTTGTACTCAGTGGCCCAATGATGAAGTTGGTTTATAAACTGCAAGCTGAAGACTATAGGTTTGACTTTCCAGTCTCCTACCTTCCTGTAAGTATGTGTCTTTTAATGGTGAGAACAGTGCCTGGGGCAGAGCAGGTCCTTTGTAGTGGCAGTGATGGAGGGAACATGCAGGGCATGGTGCCTTATGACCCTGGACAGGAAGATACCTACGTACCTGTTCAGGGCCCAAGAAGGATCACACATTAGAAATTAAACAGATTGTTTTTTCAAAAGTATTCAGACCAGCGCTGCTCATCTTATGCCTGGCCAACCCAGATCAAGTGCCACATGCCCCCGGTACAGAGGTGTTACAGGTTTTGTCTTGGTCAGCTTCCCAGAGGGCTGCACCATGGGAGGGATGGGAGCCTGAAAGCTGCTCAGGATCCCCTCCCACTCCACAGGGCCCTGTGAAGGCATCCATCCAAGAACGAGTCCTCCCCGACAGCCCGCTGTACCACAACAAGGTCCAGTTCCCCGCCAGTGGGGGCCTTGGCCTCAACCTTGCCCTTAGTATCCTTTTTTGTCTCCCAGGTGGGAACGATGGGGGTGTTCATCATGGGAGGAGGAGGTGGGACCCAGCACACAATGGGGGTCCAACACCATCCTTGCACTTATTCCTTGATGCTGCTGTCAGATTCTTTTGAGTATTACTTGTTCTTCTTTGCCTTGAGCCTCATCACTCAGAAGGTACAGGACGGGGCTCTTGGGAGTGTTACTTTACCATGGCCTCCTTGTAGAGAGTGGGCTTTTGTTCCTGAAGAGAGCAGAGGGGGCTTGGAGTCTGGGTGCTAGCTGTTTGTACATTCTCTGCAGCTAGCTCATTGCCACCCTCTTCTTCCAGCCTTTGGTAGTGTCTCTCTCTCTCTCAGCCATTGCCCCTTTGTGAAGACCATGGGACTGTGGGTGGACTAACCCCAGTGTGGGTGGCTGGAGTGAGGTCAGGAACTGGTCGAGCATCTCCTCATTCTGTTTCCCGTTTCTCTTTCATCTCTTCTCACAGTGCATCATGCTGTTCCCAACTAGAACATCCCCGTAGACTTTCTGCAGTCTGGTGGGGAAGACCTTGGGGTGGACTGAGAGGGAAGCTTTAAGACTCCAAGGAGTTGGTCCTGGGCAGGGATGTCCTGAGAGGAGGGTCTTCTTAGGCCCTAAGTCAGGGAGCAGCTCGATGCTGGCTGCTCGGATGTGTGGCTCTCTGGTACCATACACTGGCTGAGGTGCCCCCAGAGCCCCACGTAATGACATGTTTGTTTTTCCAGCCACTGCCTACATCCCTCCAAGTCCGGACTTCTGACTGCGCCTACTTCTTCCTGGTAGACAGGTACCTGTCATGGTTCCTGCCTACTGAGGGCAATGTGCTCCCTCCACTTTTCTCCAGTCCTGGGATGTCCAGCCCCTCACCTGCTCCCAGGTAAGGCTCCTAGCTACCCCGGCACTTGGTTTCCTGCAGATTAGGTGGTCCAGGAGCTGGCCCTGTTCCAACAGCTCATCATGAAGCTGGCCCTTCCCACAGAGTCACTCAGTTATATTATGTTAACCTGCCAGCACAGGGGTCCCTTCCTGTCCAGAGTTTCCACTGGACAGGGCTCTCAGGTCTAGGGTCTTAACACAGCTGGTGGGCATGCACTTGTGTGTGTCATGGAAACTCTTGAGCTTGCCAGTGGTGTGTGGCATTATGGAAGCTCTTGGGTCCTTTATTTGCATATGGAGTGGCAGCTAGCTTTTGTTCAGCCCTCAGCAGCTTCCCTCTCCTCACTGCCTGCAGAGGTGGTGAGCAGAGTAGATGGTTTGCTGGACCAAGTCAAGAAAGTCGCTAAAGATCCCAAGAGATTGTATTCTGGAGAGAAAGGACATGGAGGGTAGTCCTGGGCGCTGAGACTGTTGGCCCGTGCAGGTGGACTTGAGTGAAGTTCTGATCAAGAAAAGGACAAGAGCGTTGGCTCTGCCCGCAGAAGGTGCTCCAGGTCCACAAGCAGCTGCCTTTGCTTCCCTGACCTCATAGCTTGTCTATCATCACTTGGGAGATGACAGGCACTGGCCCTTGTCTCTTCTGCTGCCAAGTCAATACCTGGTTTTCCAAAGAGCCTGCTCTTACTCACTGTGTACACGAAGATATGTATTGGAAGTGTGAGAATGCAGGGGTTTCCTGGGTAGATGTACACACAGGCCTTCATGCTGGTGATGTTCCAGGCTGAGTGGAGAGCATGAGTGAGAGCCAGTAGTATACACACACATACTCACACATCCACCCCCAGGCTGAGAGAAGGGTGTTCATGAGAGGTAGTGGTACACATACACTCTGGATGAGAAGAAGGTGTGGATGAGACAGTGGTATGTATGGACACAGACACACACCGCTTTAGGCTGAGAGGAGGGTGTGAATGAGAAGTAGGGGTAAACAAACCTGTACCTCAGGCTGAGAGGAGGATATGGATGAGAGCTGGGGACACACACAAATACCTAACCCTAGACTGAGAGGAGGACGAGGAATGAGATACAGGGACACACAGAAAGCCTAGGGTACACATACATAATAGGCTGAAAGGAAGTGGCTATGGATGAGAGGCAAGGGCATACACACACACGCGCGCGCGCGCACACACACACACCCATCCCTCTTCCCTGCCAGGCTGAGAGGAGGGTGTGAATGAGAGCCCTGAGTACACACACATAACACCTAGGCTGAGAGAAAGGTGGATGATAGCCAGAGGTATACACACACACCCTCGGGGCATGGTTCTCTTGGTTTTGCTCTCAGAATCATTTCAGACATATAATTGTGCACAGTGAAGGTTCTTAAAGAACCTTTAAGAGTCGGCATTCAGATTCCTGGAGTATGGATACTTGCACAGTGGTCCACACACGTTTACCTTGTTTGTGTGTTATGATCCACGGAGGCACAGACGTGGTAGTTGTACTAAACAGGAACCCACTGCCCCACACAAGCACTGCACATCTGCACAGCAGACCCACAGGCTTGCCTCCACCTCATCCTCAGACGCCATTGAATCCACCTCAATCCACCAGGACTCTGTGGTTCCACTTCCACCCTCCACCAATTTCTAGGGCTGTGAATCCTCTCAGAGGGGGCTGCCATCTTCCTCCCATGGAGTAGGGGGGATGGGACAGCATGTTATCCAGCACACAGCACTGAGCCCCTTCTTTCTTAGTAGTTGTCCTAAATATCTGATTCAGGCTCATCCCCGTGTGCTCTGCACCTGTCTTTAGTTTCCTGATCTTTTCTGACCTTGATGCTTTCAAGGCATGCAGGCCACACTGCAATAGAATATGTTTTGTCATATTCTAGCCCTGTGATGGTTGTTTGTCCTATTGCTCACATCAGCTTTCCTTTTTCTTACTCAGGTAGATGATGAATGATTTTATTGTACGTCCTTGATGCTCTGTGGGGCTAAAATACACCCTCCCCTTTTAAAAAAAATTGATTTGCATATAAACATATATAGCAATTTGTAGGTGTGCTTTGTATTTTATACAGTCGTTTATATAGATATATTTTATGTAGCTGATTACCATTGATCTGTTTCTATTGTTTCGTCCTTTCTGATCCCCATTGAATCTTTACCATTCCTTCAGTCTCCCCTCCACCACCAACCTCTGCTATCATATTGGTTTTAACCTCCTCCCATTTTTTTGTACCCCTTCTTTCTCTTCCCCTTTTGTACACTTATATAAGTTGCTCAGTGCAGTATTTGTCCTCATGTGACTGAGATGTTTCCAAGTTATTTATTGCTCCTTAGTGCTATATAGTATTCCATTGTGTGGATGTACCACAATTTCCCAGTCCATTTGTTTGTTAATTATTGGTCATTTGGGCTGTTTCCATGTTCTTGCTACTGTGAATCATGTTGCTTATACAAAGTGTCCCAGCACTGATACCCTTGGGATATATTACTAGCAGCACAATAGCTGGGTCCTATGAGATTTCTATGTTCAGTGTTTTGAGGAAATGCAAAATTGTCTTCCACAGTGGTTGTGTGCAACATTAGCTTCATTCGTTGGATTGTGGGTGTCTTGGCCAGGTGTTTTTTCTGCATGGGTACTTTAGGGTTTGTGAGGTGTGAACGTGCCAGTCGTTGTGAGGCTGGCACAGTGCTGGAGACTGTTGGTTTCTCGTGTGTATGGGGTTCTGGGGCTGGATCACTTTGCCAGCAACTAACGAGTTGGTCTTTGGCCAACTCAGGTATTGCTGGCCTGTGACCAAACAGTGAGCTACACCTTGGCTGGTTGATTGCTGCTGTAAAGATGGCCTTTCTCTTCTCCCAGTGTGCATTTCATTTTGTCAGTGCAGATTTGGGTTCCTGTGTGCTTCAGCAGGTTATCATCTGTTGCTAGTCCCTGACATGATCTTGTTTTCTCAGGACCACAGCCATGCCCTTCACCTCCTACGGCCTCCATCACCCCAGCCTTCTGAAGCGCCACATCTCTCACCAGACGTCAGTGAATGCAGACCCCGCCTCCCATGAGATCTGGCGCTCAGAGACATTGCTCCAGGTGAGCACCAGGGCAGCTGTCCACTACGTCAAGTGGGCAGGAGTGGGTGGGCCAGCACCCCATGGATAGGCTCACAGATGCCAGTGTCTCCTCCTATGAAGTTTGGATGGATCCCCTGGAAACTAAGACAGGCCACAGTGATATCAGAGGGGAGAGAAGATAAAGAACAAAGACAGACACTCCTGTGGACATGGGGTAAAGTGTGAGCAGAAAACACTGCCAGCGATGTGTAGAGAAGCGGGTCATTCGGCTCAGGTCCATGTCCTTGGAGCTTGTTCCTGTGATCACTTCAGAGGCAGTTAGACCTGCCCCAGGTGTGCCCTGTGGAGGCCTCCACTCAGGCCCACAGCCCCCTCAGTGACCGCCTAGGATGTGGACAGCTGAGAATCTTCCACCTTCCTTGCAGCTCAGGTGTGGTTCCGTTTTCATTCTTTCACAGCAGCCCACACAGTGTGTCTTTTGTGATGGCAGCGCATCTCCTTACCACTAGTCTACCCAAGTTCGGAGGGCCCATAGGATGTGGTTCCATTCACACTCAGGTTATGGATTGTGATGGGGACAGGCAGCTGGGACACCACTTAGGGGTGTGAACCAGACGCCCAAGCATTTTTTGCAGGTGTTTGTTGAGATGTGGCTCCACCACTACTCCCTGGAGATGTACCAGAAGATGCAGTCCCCTCATGCCAAGGTAAGTCTGTTGGGCCCTGGGCCCACCTGCCAGCCTCCTCCTCTTCTTTAAACAGTTAGGGATGGAAGGCTGGATAGCAGCCAGCTGAGACCCACCATCTTCCGTCCTGCAGATACCAGGAGAAAGGTGGGATGAGTGCTGAGATGGGTCTGCACCCTGAGGCCTGAGCAGTTCAGGCTGGATGTTTGTCCTCTGGAGGCAGCACTGGATGCTATCTCAAGCCTCATGTTGAGGTTGCCACAAGAGTGGGTGCTCTTGCTCCAAGAGAGCTGGGTCCCCATAGAGGGGTGTCTGTGTCTGGTCCCTCCCATCAGCAGCGCTGCCATACTTGTCCAGTGAGGTAGCCAGCCACCTAGGCCAACCCCTGATGCCCAGCCTGAGCCTCTTCTGCATGCCCACACTGCCCCTTGCTGCCTTCAGAGCAGCAGGCAGTTGTCTGGGTAAGCAAGGCCAGTGCCATTTTACATAAGATCCTCTCTTCCCCCCCTTACTTCCTGCTTATTACACTGGCAGCATGGCCACTTGCCAAGCAAAGTTCAGAGCAAGCTTGTTCCAGCATACCCTTTGTCATGCTTTGGTGTGGTCCCTCAAGTGGCCAAGTGGAGCCTCAGAATCCCATTCCCTGAAGCAGCTCAGCTTTCACCTCCACACACACCTCCTAAAGGTGGTGGTCACCCAAACCCTGCCACCCAGCGGGTGCTTCCATCCACTTTGACGTTTTTGCCACAGGGAGTTCCCAAGAGCTTGCTCTAGACTTAAGAATTGTTGGAGGGTAGAACTCAAATGGGAATGAGGTCTTTTCTCCATTCTTGACCTCATGCAGAGGAGGATGAGGATGGGGCTACCAGCCAGACTCCTCTGAGACACCTGGAGTCATAGTGTGCCTGCAGTGCTCTTCCTGATTCCTGATTGAGGATGCTGCATGCTCCTGACCAGGGCTTGGTGATCGTGGCCAGCTGAACAGTCAGTCCACCTTGGGCTCTGCACATGGCTGGCTGGCGTGCTGTTTGCTGTGTTATCTCTTGTCTGCTCATTATGACTTTGGCGTAGGAAGCCAGCATGCTCGATGTCACCCTGCCTCACTTGCCTTGCCTGCTGGGAGGTGCCTTCTGAGCTCTTGTGACTTGTGAGGAATTTGGGTCCTCAGTGCTGGCAGTGGTAGTGGACTCTCTCCCTCCTGGGGATACCTCCCTGCTCCCATAGCTGCTTCTTCACAGGGTGGAGCTTGCAGGCTGGGCTGCTGGAGTCATTGCAGTGATGGGGGGAAGACAGGAAGCACCCCAGGCCTCCAGAGAGCTCCCTTGGTCTTTTTACCGTTGACTCAAAACCAGATTGATTGCTCACGTTGGCCCATGGGACGGGGTTGAATTTCCCCTTTGGGTTCCTGAGGCTATAGATCTTGTGGGAGTAAATTGCCTCGTTCTCCTTTTGCCCGGCAGCTGGCAAGTTTAAACCACTGCCCTTTGGCTTAGCAGTCCAACACTTCAGTTGCTACATCACCAGGGCTGCCCTTCCCATTGGGGCTGAGAGAAAATACAGGAAGACTAGAGGGGCTTGCTGTAGAGGTGAGCCTCGGCCAAGGCCCACCAAGGCTCAGGCCCTGCTCAGCACTAACCCCCTGGTCCTTGGGGTCCCTGCTCTTCCTGATCCTGTGGGAGCAGGAATGTGGCTCTACAAGTGCCCTGAGTCCTAGGCCTGCCTGAGCTCTGCTTTAGTTTGCTGATACCACCTCCCGAAGCTTCCTGCAGGCCATGTGCACCAGCATGGAAGGTCCAGACTGTCTGTGGGATCCCTGACTGAGCAGGCATGCTGGCCTGTTTTGGGGAATGGCTGTGCAGGGCTGGGATGCTTCCTGCTCTGGCTTGCACGGGTCTGCCTTGATGTCCTGCCTCTCCTGTGGGCCCGGGATGGGCATGCTGCTCACATGGAGGTCTTGCAGGTAGACTGGTGGTGGGGCTGGTCAGGGCCGTACCTGGCTGTGGAGGTCACTTTTCGCAGGCCTCTTCCCTTCTGCAGCCGCTATCCCATTATCCATGGCTACTCCTGCTGGCTCACCTAGTCTGGGCTTTAGATGAGCGATCCCTGGCAAGTAGAGGTCCCCAGAATGAGAGCTGCTGAATTGCTTGCATCATCTCTGGGCAGGGTTTCCCCGACTGCTGTAGGACTTGATGATAATACTATGCTGCTTGTTCATCATGCACCTGCTGAGCTGCCTGTGCTCGTCTTGGTGCCCTCAGGAGCCAGCCCCAGGCCCTAAGAGTCCCAGAGAAAGGGAGCGGGCAGTGATGGGGTTAGAGAGACAGGCTCACTCGTTCTCTCTCTCTCTGGTTCCTGTTGGTTTGGTAAATTTTGAATTCCCTTTAAGCCAACACAGAGAAGCGGCTATCTGGAGCTGGTTTCTGAAAATTTCTCTTTTGACCTGGACTTTAGGGCCTTTGGCCAGAAATATCCCCAGCATCCCTGATCCTGAGGGGTCACAGTGTGGATACCTCTCATAGGGGATGTGAGCCCGCGGGGTAGGGGTCCCTTAGAAGGAAATCAAGCTGATCTGGTTGCACAAAGCTTAGAGAAGTTGTGTGGGACCTCATGATCTGGGGACCATGTCCTGGCAGTCAGGATGGGCCTGGCTCTCACATGAGGGCCCCTCTTCCACTTTACTGAACCAGGAGGGATCTCATTTTGGGGAGTGGGGGGGAACGATGCTTCACCAGCTGAGCTGCTGGTGCTGTAGTTGTGTGGACTGGCACTGACTGCTTTTGTTTTGTTTTTCTCTTTCTCCTTTTCTGGGCTTACTCTTAACTTTGGTTTCTCTCCCCCTCTCGGCCCTGCCCCGTGCCCTCCGTCCGTCTCTTTCGGCTCCTCTCCTCTGTCTGTTGTCTCAGCTGGAGGTTCTGCACTACCGACTCAGTGTCTCCAGCGCCCTCCACAGTCCTGCCCACCCCGGCTTCCAGGCCCTCCACACGTACCAAGTACTGGTCATCGCGTTTGGCGTTTGTTCCATTTACTTCCAGCCTGAGGTGCCTCCTGCAGGTCACCTTCAGGCACCATGATAGGAATCAAGGCTGGGGAACAAGTGTTTGGTGATTCAGGACTAGTTCTCTGCAGAGTGAGCCATGTCAGCCCTCAGCCTGGCCCTGTGGGAAGGAAGGATGGTCTCAGTTCTGCTGGTGCTGGGCCGCAGTCCCTGCCACACACAGTCCTTCAAGTGTGGGGCCTCAGTCCCAGGCTCCGATCTGGCTGCTGGCACAGGGCAGCTGTGACTGTGTGACCTCTGCCACCTGACTCTTCCTGGTGCATGGCCTCTCTTCTCATTGGTGTCACTTGCATTCAGAAGTATCAGCCAGCTTGGACCCCGCCAGTGTTGTGCAGCCAGGGCTTGCTAGGGGAAGAGCATGGATCCTGGTCTCACACCACTGAGACTTCCTGATGGCAGTTGGCCAAGCCTCTCCCAGTCTTTGCTAGTCATTCTCTGAGTTCTCAGTGGTGGATGAGGGCAGCTTGCACTTTTGAGGGGAGGAGAGGTGTGAGGCACAGGCCTCTGGGGAAGAAAAGGCAGATCTGGGAGGAACTTGGACCCAGGAATGTTGGAGAGTTATGATTGACCAGCTTGTGGAATCAGTTCCTGGAAGATGTGGCTCAGGGATCCCACTGTGCTCCTGAGCTGTCCAGTTCACTCTCTGGGAACGCACAGCAGCTCACTGTGAATCTCAGTACAAGACAGGAAAGCATGTTCTGTCAAGTGTTGAGAGGGAATTGGCGAAGGCAGCCTGCAGTGAGGGCACTGAACACACAGCCTCACAAGGAGAGGCTGATCAATCGAGAGGAAAGGCTGATGGGGTGTCCAGGGAGGGTCTGGTGTAAGCTGTGCACTGGAGGTTCATTTCTGGCCTCTGTGTGAGTCCGGTGTCCCAAGTACAAGATAAGAGACCTGGCTAGAGGGATAAGACCTTAGGGGTTGTGACCCAGTGAGGTACAAGGGACCAAGGCAACTTCACCTTGAAACTCAAGGGAAGTGGAGTTCGAGATGGGAGTTGGAAGACAGAACATTTGGGCTGACCTGTGGGAAATGGAGAAAGGCAGTAGGAGTGAAAGACCAGCTGGCCCCCTAGGTAGGGAGGGGTAGCCCCCCCCTCCCCAAGTGCCTGGCTGAAGGAGGACAACTCCAAAGGCCAGGCCAGGGAATGACCCTGGAAGGAGACACCTCATGGGGCAGGATGGCTGCTCAGAATTGAGTTAACATTGTTACTAAAATGTTTTGTGTCCCAAGCATCTGACCTGGGGTCCACAGACAGTGTTTTGTGGTGGGAGACAGTGGCTTGTGGGGTGGGGCCTCAGGGTGTGGGCCTTCAATGCTCTGCTACACTGTGGTTGTAAGAGGCAACTTGACCCTCACCTGGGGTGCAGAGCTGCAGAAACCCCACAACAGCAAGTGAGTGTATACTCACTTTGTGACTCAGATTGGGTCCTTGAGATTGTGACTGCCCTGGTCTTTAGGTTTTACCTGAAGGAATAAGACCCCTTGACCAGGTGGATTGACACAGTGATAGCAGCAGTGGGCTCTAATGTGTCAGGAAGTGTGAGAATGGAGCAGGCTAGCAGAGGGTTCAGGTCTGTTGTTCACAGGGTCACTGTGAGTCATGATTGACTTGACAACACCTGACAACCGCAAAGGGGATACAGGAGGAAGCACAGGGCCGCTCACAGCTGGAGCCCCTCTCCTGTCGTCCAGAAGCAAGCCTGGAAAGGGCATATTTACCTGGGAACAAAGAATCCAGGGTCCTGATACATTCTGCAGGCCCACAGGCCCAGCAGCAGGCTTGAATCTGCATCCTCCTGCTCAGCATTGGAAAGGCCTGAGGACATGCAGCCAGGTAGCAGTGACAGACATCACCTGCATGTCCTCAGCCGCACATGGCAAGAGTTGTACTGAGTCAGGAGGGGAATCATTTTCCAGGCCAGGGGTTTTATGGAGCTCCCCACGAGGGCTCCCAGTCTGGGCATTGGCTGTCACATCTCAGGCCAGATTCAGCTCAGACTGAGTGTTGCAGTGTGTGTCTCTGCAGGTTGGGGCCCCACACCCTTCCCCTGGATGGGCTCAGTCCTGGGAGGTGGTATGGTCACCCGTGGGGAACATGGGGCCTCCTTGCAAGTGGCCCAGGCCAAACCATCTTTCCTCAACCCCAGGAGTCATTCACGCCCTCTGAGGAGCACGTGCTGGTGGTGCGGCTGCTCCTGAAACACCTGCACGCCTTCTCCAACAGCCTGAAGTCGGAGCAGGCTTCACCCACAGCGCACTCCCACGCCACCAGCCCCCTGGACGAGTTCAAACGGTGCGTGTGGGGCTCCTGGGCACTGACCATAGGCCCCATCTCCTCGTCTTGTCACTTGTAATGGGATAGAGTTGGGTGACCCCTTCCTACTCAGGTCTCCTCACCTCCGTCTGGCCTCAAAGTCCTGGAAACAGATAGGAGGATAGCTGGGCGGGCAATGTCTTCCCTAAGCGAGCACTCACTCTTCTGTCGGAAGAGTCAGACTGGCCAGGGGCAGAGGACAGTCTGTCATCTTGTCCAAATAGAGCAAGAGTGCCTGGCAGTGTGGACAGGTTTCCGAGGGCTTCCTGGGATGGAGAGTGGGCTCTGCTTGCTCTGCGTTTTCCATGCTGGGCCAGGTCCCACTGCGTGTCCACCCAAAACCTCACATTCTGCAGAAGGGGGAGAAGAGGAGTCCTGAAGTCCCAGGCACAGTTCCCCTCAACAGGGTCATCTGGGGCCTTCCAGGTCAGCCAGCAGCAGGCTGACCCTGCTTTCCTTCCAGGGCTGCTGTCCCCCGCTTTGTCCAGCAGAAGCTTTACCTGTTCCTACAACACTGCTTCGGGCACTGGCCTCTGGATGCATCATTTAGAGCGGTCAGTACAGGCCCTCGGCATCTCTGGTGGAGTGTGGGTAGGGCACAAGATGCAGAATTGGGCCTGGGTGCATCTCAGTGTTCTGCCCATTGCTGGTTCCAAAGTCTGCCTCTTGGTGCTGTAATGCCTTGCCACCGTGCTGAGCTCTGCCATTTCACAGGGCAGCCAGAGATCTGGCCCACTAGGGCTGGAACAGCTTGTCTGCACCTGGAGTGAGGTCCTGCCCCACTCCTGGAAGAGCCAAAGCAAAGGGGTGGTGGACCTACAGCTCCCTGCATGTCCTCCTGCCCAGGCACTGGTCACTGGGGAATCTCAACTCTTGCCAGGTCCTGGAGATGTGGTTGAGTTACTTGCAGCCATGGCGGTATGCACCCGAGAAACAGCCTCAGAGCAGTGACTCCCAGCCGCGATGTGTGTCTGAGAGATGGTGAGCCGGGATCCCCTTTAGCCCCCGTGGCTTCTTGCCTTCTTTTCTGTGCACTGCACTGTGGGCAGGGGCAACCGGGGGGTCTGTACTGTGCTGTGTTCAGTGGAGCCTGTCCTGACTTCCACTCTGGGGTGCTCTTCTGTGCCCCTGGAATGTGCACCCTGGCCTGAATTTATCCCCTGAGTGGTCTCCTTTGCTTGCAGATATACTTTGTGGTCCTCTTCATCCTGTAAATGTTCTGCTGGTCCTTGCTGGCCGCTGCCTATCACTCCCCTGCCCACTTCTCATGACCACCCCACAGCTTCTCCTGGTATCCTTCCTCCTGCTGGCTTCCTAGCACCTGCTCTGCTGCCCCAGGCCCTGCCTCCTCCCCTTTCCTGGCTCTTCTTCTGCAAGGGCTCCTGGATGGCTTCAGCCATGTGCATTCAGGAGCACTTGACCTTGGTCCTCATTCTTGTGACTGTACTTGTTCTTTGTTGTTATGCTAAAATAATTTTAACAAAGCTCTTGACTTTTCAGCATCTCACACATGAAGTTCCTCAACTTTAGTTAGTCACTAGATAGTGACCACCACCACCACCACTTGTTTTTTTGGAGGGAGGTGTTCTTTTTTAAAAAAAAAAATTATATTAGTTTGCTTACAAAGTTCATATATATTGTTTCCCACGATCCCTCATTCACAATTTCACACAATCATTGCTATTCGTTATGTTTCATAAAATCATTCAACATTGAACTGTGTCTACCATTGCTCTGTCTTTCCAGATCCCTGCTGCATCTTTCACATTTCCTTTACTCACCCCTCCATCCACTCACCAAATGTTGCAACCCTGTGATTACCCCCACCCCATTATCCTTGTCCTTTTGCACCCACCGTCCCCTACTTGGATCCTCATAAATGTTTTATTAGTTATCGTTCTGTTTCTACAATAATCTTCTTATGAAGTATTTGCCCTGGGGAATCTGAGTTAGTTCCCTCAGCATAATGCTCTTCAAGTCTCTCCCAAGTAGTGTTTTTTGAAATTGTTGCTTCTGAGTGCTGCATGGTATTCCATCGTGTAAATGTACCACAATTTCTCAATCCATTCAATTGTGGTTGGACATTTGGGCTGTTTCCATGTTCTTACAATGGTGAATAAGGCTATTATGAACATTGGTGTACAAATCTCCAGTTCTTTTGCCTCAGTTCTCATTTTCTCAGGGTATATTCCTAGCAGTGGAATAGCTGAGTCATGGGATTTCTATGCTCAGCTTTTTGAGGAAATGCACACTGCATTCCAAAGTGGTTGTACCATTTTACAATCCCACCAACAGTGTATGAGAGTTCCAATCTCTCCACATCCTCTCCAGTATTTACTGATTGCTAGAGAGTTGGACAATGACTATGGAGGATAGAAGGAGAATTGATGCCTTTGAGCTGTGGTGCTGGAGAAGAGTACTGAGGGTACCATGGACTGCTAGGAAAACAAACAGATTTGTCCTGGAGAGGGTTAAACCGGGTGGCTCCTTGGAGGCAAGGATTCTGAGGTTCCGTCTAACATACTTTGGACATGTTGTAAAGAGAGACTGGTCCTTGGAGAGGGACATCATGCTTGGGAGGGTGGAGGGACAGCGCAGGAGGGGAAGGCCCTCTATGAGGTAGATTGATTCAGTGACTGGGGTAATCAGGATGGAATGTCAGAGACAGTGCGATTGGCACAGGACAGAGCAGAGTTTAGGGCTCTTGTACAGAGGGTCGCTATGAGTTGCAAGCGATTCAACGGCACATAACAACAACAGGGTGCCCTGCTACCGTTTAGGACTGCTACTGGGGTGAGATGGTATCTCAATGTGGTTTTGATTTGCATCTCTCTTATTGCCAGTGGTTTTGAACATTTCTTCATGTGTCTGTTGGCCATCCAGATGTCTTCCTCTGTGAAAAGTCTATGTTTTTTTCCCATTTTTGTAATTGGGTTATCAGTCTTTTTCTTGTGGAGGCCCAGGAGTATTCTGTAAACTTTTGTTATGAGACTTGTGGAAGAGTCAAATATTTTTTTCCCAATTGGTAGGTTTTCTTTTCAACCTGTTGGAAAAAGTTTTTCATGAGCATAGGGATTTAATCTTTAGAAGGTCCCATTCATCAGTTTTATCCTCTCGACACTGCATTTTTGGCTATATTTGTCAGCCTCTTTATACCATAGTCTAGGCTTTCTAAGCTTGATCTCAGTTTGTCTCTTACAAACTTAACGGTTTGGGGCTTTACTCCCAGTCTCTGATCAATCCACCTTGAGGTTATTTTTGTGTACTGAGTGAGATGTCAATCCTGTTTCAGCTTTCTGCAGGTAGCAGTCCGGTTTTGCCAGCACTATTTATTAAAGAGGTTGTTGTTTCCCCGTTTGATAGGTTTTGTTTCCTTGTCAAGTATCAGTTGACCATCGATGGGCCTGTTTCTGGGTTCTTAATTCTGTTCCATTGGTCTCTGTACCTGTCATTGTACCAGTACCATGCTGTTTTTATTATTACAGCTGTGTAGTAGGTTTTGAGATCAAGGAGTGCTATGCCTTCCACTTCATTCTGGTTTTTTAGAAGTGCTTTTCTTATTTGGAGTCTTTTTTTCCTCTCCAAATACTTAACAATTGCCTTTTCTATCCCTTTGAAAAATGAACTTCGTATCTGTATAGGGATTTTGTGTTTTTTTTTCTTTTCAGTCAACCTTAGCAGAACTCAAATTCCCCTTCCCCTTCCTGAACCCCAGTAACCACTACATGGTCTCTAAGTTTCATGTGAGTGGGCTCACACAGTAGTTCTCCCTTTGTAGCTGGTGTATGTTGTTCCATGTGACATTTACTGAAGCATCCATGTCACGGCATGTCTCAAGACTTCACTTGAAGGGACCCCGTTTTTGTGTGGATTACTCCCAAATCTCCTTTTTTTCCCCAACTCGACACCCCCAGAACCTCTCAACTGTCATTGCCAGGGCAATCTGAAAATCCACAGGAGGGGAAGGGTTCAGGGTTGGCTCCTGGCCATCCCAGCTGGCTCTAATTGGGGCATTGGTCGCCAGGGTGCCCTTTGTCCAGGAGAACCTGCTGATGTACACCAAGCTCTTTGTGAGCTTCCTGAATCGAGCACTGCGCACAGACCTGATCAGCCCGAAGAGTGCGCTCATGGTGTTTCGGGTGGCCAAAGTGTTTGCCCAGCCCAACCTGGCAGAAATGATACAGAGAGGTGAGCAAGCCCTTCTCCCCCACCTGGCCAAGTCCTGGCCCTGGAAGCACCTGAGCCTTGGCTGAAGCTGACAGGATGCAGGACCTGACCTGAGGAAGGCCTAGACTTAGGGGCCCCAGAGGACTGGTTGGGAGACATAGGGTACATGTTGGCAGGATAGGGGCTCACGTTAACCCTGTCTTCTGCTTCTGAGAAATCTAGGTTCTTAGAGACAAGTGGCCTTCAGAATGACAGCTATGGGGCCAGTGAGGTAGACATGCTGTGCTAATGGTCCAGAGGGAAGGTGGGAGCTACTGCCAGGAGCTACCTGCTACACAGCTGCTGTTTCTTTTGGGGCTTGGGTAGCACACTTCGAGCCATCTTCTTAGTCCTTCTGAGCTTTTTATCGCTTCCTGTGAATTGACTTTCCTTTTGAAAGAGTAGCAGCACTGAGAGTAGGCCCTTAGCCCTTGCTTGATCCAAGACATACTGCCTGCCACAAAGCTTTTGGTCATGACTTTTGAAACCTAGCAGGCACCCGGCAGTGTTCCCAGAGGTAACTTGGCACTCACAGCCAATGACGCTTTGCCCCCAGGAGAGCAGCTGTTCCTGGAGCCCGAGCTGGTGCTGCCCCACCGCCAGCACCGCATGTTCATGACACCCACTTTCACGGGCAGCTTCCTGTCATCCTGGCCGCCCGCCATTACTGACACCACCTTCAAAGTGAAGAGTCACGTCTACAGCCTGGAGGGCCAGGACTGCAAGTACACTCCCATGTTTGGGCCCGAGGTCCGCACCCTGGTGAGTGTGGGCACTGGGGACATGCTGACCGAAGACCTGAAGAGTGTGTTTTGGAAATCTTGCCAATTTATCCACTGCTTTTGAAGTGGTTCTAACACAGCAATCTCCCTCCCACCAAGTTTCCGAGGCTCTGAGTATTTACTAATTGGATTTAATGGATTTATCTAACAAATCAGTTGTGGGCTTGAAGCCTCTTCTTTAGGTCAATCCAACTTGGTGGGAAGGCACTTAAAAGTATTTAAAATCTATTTAAAGGGAGCTCTGGGTGGCCTAGTGGCAAGAAGCTACACTGCAATCCCAGAGATAAGCAGTTCAAATTCACCAGATGCTCTGCTGGAGAAGGAAGGGCTATCTCCTCCTGTACCAGTCAGATCCAGTTTGACAGTACACACACAAGTAATAATAATAATAATAAAGCTATTTAAATTTATTTAATTCACAGTTGTGTGTGAGCTGATTGGATTTATTGGATTTAGCTAACAATCACCTGTGGGCTGGAAGCTTCTTGTTTAAGTCAGGACCTGGTGGGTGGACCTTTGTACTAAAAGTCAGTTGGGCCTGCGGGCCTGGTGTTAATTGTGTTTGGGAAGAACATTAAGTGGTACAGCACTGCTGTCAGTTTGCTGTACGAGGTATCTTATTGGGGTTACTGTGATGCTGAACACTGTGCCACTGGTATGTCAAATGCCATAATGGTTACCCATGGTGAACAGTATTTGGTAGAGCTCCCACATTAAGATAGGCTTGGAAGTAGGATTGGCATCCACTTCCTCCTCTAGAAACTCTAAACATTAGAGAAACAACAATAGTAGGGTTCATAGGGTCGCTCATACTGGACTCAATGGCGGTTAACAAGTAGTTACAGGAAGAGACTGTCAACTTGTTTGTTAGCCTGATGTTACACACTGCTCCACCAGAGGATCCGATTTAGAAGGCTGTAAGCATCTTTGGAGAGCCTGAGCTCCTGGGCCAACCCTGCCTGCTCACCTGTCTCCCTGACCATTCTCTGCTGCCCCTCCCGAACTGTGGGTGTCCATGTGATCTTGGCAGGTCCTGCGTCTGGCTCAGCTCATCACCCAGGCCAAGCAGACTGCCAAGTCCATCACTGACCAGTCTGCTGAGAGCACAGCTGGCCGCTCTTTCCTGTGTTGGCTGGGCTTTGGCCCTGTGGACAGCAGCAGCTGCTACCCGGCCAACGATCTCGATGACACAGGTCAGGACAGCGTCCGAAAGACAGATGAGTACTTGGAGAAGGCCTTGGAGTACCTGTGCCAGATATTCCGAGTACGTAGTACATTGTGCAGTGTGACTAGCCCTGTGCACCCCTCTCCCCCTGTGGCCAGCACT